TGAACTTGAAAGAGAACGTAACACATGACGTCATGGGAGTATGGTGATGCTCAGTGGCCGACAGGCAACCAAGTTCGGCGCTCGTCCATACTCCTGGCGGTGCGACCTCCTGGCGTCAGGGGGATCTCGACGCGCGCTCGGTCGTTGCGCTCGGGGTCGCTGTCAGAATCGTCGTATGCATCAGACAAACGGGAGAAGTAATCGGCCAGACCACTCGTCGGCGATGCGATGCTTTCGTATAGAGGGGGTGGGGTTTCCAGAGGAGGCGGTGGTTCTATTTCCGAGAATGCGGGTGGGTTGAAAGAGGGTACGCGCATCAAGTGAATGGGTCTTTGTACCGTAGAATCGTTTGGTCCGCCGATGTGTGCTGCTTGTGGGCGGGTGAGATTTGGTGATGGTGTTGGTAGTACGGCGTCCGAGTTCCCTCTCGAGCGACCCAAAGAGCTCAATGTAGGTACAAAGCTGGTCGGTGAGTTGCGCCGGGATGGTGCATTGGGGCATCCGCACTCAGGTACCCGTGTGCCGCTCAGGGCAGGTTCGGGCGACGAGTATGCTGGGAGTGCTGTGTTGGCTTGCGTAGCTTGACACGAAAGGATATGGAAGGGCGAATCGATCGAGATCTCGAAATGCCTTCTCTTGGTCGGGTCGGTAGCGTCCGGTTTCGAAAGGCGCATGACAAGCTAGTCCATTGTTAGTGTGTACGACAATGAAACCCAAGATTAGACGTACCTTGATCCAATGGTGCACCTGTATGTTCTGGTACGTGGTGTCGAAGTGCAACTTGGATGACTTGTCCTTCTCTTTGAGGTTGTGACAGCTTGGCAGTTGTACATTGAACTCCATCTCAGTAGGCCCGATGTTTGCATCTCCTCCAAGATCACCCAGGAGGTTGGTGGGATCTTGCACCTGTACATCTTCGCCCCGAGAAGCAGCTGCCCGCTGGTCATACGGGACACCCCCTCCAGACACTATCCGCATTGTGCTACCGGGAAATGTACTGGTCGGTGGGCCATCCGCGCGTTTCTCGAACAGCTGAACCTTGCGGACAGGCTCCATTCGATGCACTCGCTTGTTGTTACAGAAGTACTCGACATTCTCCGTGACAAACACCTTGATACGATGACATTGCACTTTCGCCAGTGGGGTCAGCTTGAAAGCGATAGGAACCTGAGCGCCGAGTGGGAAGGATTTGCCGGAGATGACGATGTCGTAGTGTAATTGGTCCTCCCAGCTACGGCTGATCGCAATAGGCTCGACCTGCTCTAGTGACCCCTCTGATGGCGCGCGGATCAGGGTAACTTCCTTTGTCCCCATGAGGTTTGTGCGGAAGGCGCCAGCGCGTTCTACAGTCGCTTCCAGCTCGTACTTGACGGAACCAAGGTCGACATCGATGGTTTCGGGAAGGTGGCTATCCAAAGGCAGCTCGAAGTTGTACATGTACTCTCCGGGGTTAAAGGTCCTGTAACCCTTCTGTGCTACGGAGGGCCCGCCTCCAGGGGTGTCGCCCTTACCGAAGCTTCGCGATTGGTTGACTTGTAGCGATAGTCTTTTGGCCTCTTTTGTCGTTAAATTCAGCGAAGAGTTGTTTGGCGATCCAGTCAATCCGTTAGAGCCCTTGTAGAGTTCCACGTGATCTGCACCAGTGCCGTTTTCGGCAGTGGGGAATTGAGAGTTAAAGAATGGCCATGTGTGGCTCATCAGGGTATCAACCTCTTCGAATTCAACCTTCTTTGGAGGAATGCCTAATTGCTGTTAGTTTGAACGAGGAATACGATGAACGAACGTACCTTCTGGCCACTTGGTCGTCGCTTTACCTCTGAACTTGAGCGTCACAGCCTTCAATTTCGCGGGTTTCGAGATCTTTAAGCATAGTGTTCCACGGAGCATAGCTGTACTTCGCTCCGCGTGCTCGGCTTGCTCGAAGCCCCGTAGAAACAGAACCGGCTCTGTGAGTTGCACGTTCACACTGACGCCACCACCTGAAGCCACTGGCTTCTCTTCTGGCAGGCTCTTGACATTGGAGATTATGCTCTTTGCAGATGCACGACCGGAAGACCAATGTGACTCGGCGACTGATGGTCTCGGCATGCCTGCTGCAGCCAATGTGCCTCCGATTGCGCCTACTGCGCCGCTGCCAGAATTCCTCGTGAGCGACCGCATGTCGGCGGTGCGTGGTTCAGGAACAGAGGCAACCGAGTTGCGGTTGCTGCTAGTAGGAGTCGTCGACGATTGAGGGGTAGGTATGTCTGTAGTTTCGGGCTTGGTGGAAAAGTGGGTGTCGATAAACGACCGTAGGAAACGTTTAGCGCCGTCGCGTGGGGCCGCCAGCTTTTCTGTGAAGTACGACTGACTAGTCGTCTGATGCCTCTGGCTGCGAAATAAAGTCGGATCAGGACCGACGTGTGCGATGTGAATGCGGTGCGGTCTGCGATTGCGGCCAGCAAAGATGCCGCGGTAGGTTTTCTTGGGAGTGTCTAAGTGGTCGGGTAGATATCGTAGTCGGCCACGTTCAGAGTAGACGGTGTGGTACTCTGGCATAGCGACGATGCGTTAGTGACTTGAAGTGGAGGTGGAGGACAGGATCAAGGTGTGGTGACAAGGCATGCGGCGTGTTGTGTCTTATACGAGGTGTAATTCAGGAAGTAGAGAAGAATTTGGCTTGTGCAACACCTCAGAGTCATGAGAGGGGTACAAAGGTTTCTTGACCACGGTAACCCAAGCAGGTTCCATATGGATGCTTTGGGAAGGGACGTTGAGGTTGGGCGCTACTAGGACAAAGGGCCCGAACGCGGTGAAGGGGGAGATGAGACAAGGACTCACGAGCAGAGACAGGGTATCCAAAGGCGTGGGTGAGGCTACCTAGTTAATGATGTGTAAATGCGATCAGCACGACAGGCCACTGTAGGGTAGTGGAGCGGTGAAGTCGCCGGTGCGTCGGAAGCGTGCGGGAATACCCTGGAGCGAGGGTTTGCGCTGGCGACAGAGAGGAGTTTCCTGCCAGGACAACAACGGCGAATAACAGGAACTCGCGGGTGTTTTGAAGTGAGTTGCAGCTAGCCAGCGAGCAGGCATGTTACGAGGACGCGAGCATGTCAGACTAGGGCAGTGCAGGGACGGCGAAAGTGTACCGGCGTCGAGTGCGAGCGTCGAGTTTGCAGGGAACAGACGGATGACGCGGACGATGGACGGTGTGCAGCGCAGCTGGTCGGCGGGGTCGCAGCAGCTAGGATGATGAATTTGAGATAGGCTGCTACTACTCTATCACGTGTCCGAAGTAAGCCTTAAGCTTTAGTGTTTCTTAACTATAAGAACTTAGAAAAATCTTAACTTAATAACTAAAGTATACTATTATAGTTATATACTACTCTAGTACTTAGAAGAGATAAGTAAATAAAATCTTTACACTTATGTATTAATTCTTCTTTATCTATCTATATAACTCTATTAAAATAGTAATATAAACTTAATTAAATACGCTTATATATATATTACTATAAGCACCTAGCGCTAATAAATATAAATAATTTATTAACGCTAACTTCTCTAAAGAGAAGTATTCTAACTATACCTTTAGGTATAAGTATACTATTAGCTATACGCGTACTATAAAGCTTTAAGTAATTACTTATTATAAAGTTATAGCTAAGTCTATCTCTACTAATATCTTTACTAACTTTATACTATAGCTCTTTATATATAGAGAGCTTACAGCTCTAAAATAACTTTATGTAAGAGTCTTTACTAATAATACTATATCTACTAAAGATAAAATTATTAAGACGCTTATATATAGAGGTTAAAAGAGAGTATAAAGATAAGTAAGACATATCTTAGTTTTAGTTTAAAGTAAATAAGAGAGATAAGATTAGGTAGACTAGTAATTAATAAGCCTATAGGCATGCCCTAACGTCTTCCGCAGCGTGACATCGGGCTGCTACTGCTCTAGCAGAGGTATATCAGTGGGTACCCGGATGGGGTAAGGAATGGTCGTGAGGGCGTGCAAGCAGCGCATCAGGGCAGGATATTCCCGCAGCGGGTATATGAGCGTGCTAGGCGTTACTAGGAGCGGCATGGCAGCGCAGCAGTAGCTTGCGCGGACGGAGGCTCGGATGCATTACATCATGCTGAGCACCAAGAGTCTGCAAGACTCGATGCAGGGGTCAGATCTCAATGGGCATCTGCTAAGGCTGCTTCTAGACCCGTTGGCGGATAGCGACCGACTACGGCATACCCGGCACGTTACCTTGATCGACGACGACAAGGCATGCTTCATCCTGCCATTAGGCTCGCACGGATGGCAAAGCCCCGACAGGCACTGATTACAGTATGTATGCGAGCACGCGCCCATGATAGCTGACAGGATATGGCATCGCTTAGACTCCAAGATGGCAGAGCCACGCTGGGCATGGGCAACGCGCAATCTCGCGACAGACCAAGCGATGCTCCGCCAGCGCATGGGCGGAGAGTTCGTCTTCCTTGTTTTGGAACTATCGAACAGATGATAGATCATGCCCGGGCATCTTGTGCCATGGTGCATCAGAACAACCACATAAACAGGGCGTCACCTCCCACGATCGCCGAAAAGAAACCTGACGGCCCAATCGCGTAGTGATCAGCGCCTGGGGTTCTGAATCTGGAGTTACAGCAAACGTGAGTGGGCAGATCGGCGCAAAGAACAGGGCGGGCTGCCAACTCAGCCGCCCTCAAGTTCGAGGCCAGGAACGAAGCAGTCGTCATTCTGGCTGCGGTGGATCCTCGGCAGTGGGGTGGAAAGCTTTTTTTTTTCGTGGCATGTGCGAGATTCGGCGCATCTGGGGGAGGGTTGAGGAGCGGACACGGCAGGGCGGGCAGTGCGGAAGGAATGGCGAGCGTGAGGCGGCACCACGTGACCACGCTGGCTTCCCCGCAACGCGTCGGGCGAAGGACAGGGCTTAGCTCAGACGCGCTTCGCTCGGCGTAAGCACACGACACCGCGACTTTGCAAGTAATGGATGCGCATGATGGAGGCTATGGTAGGACATAGGGTATCACTATTACCATACACATGCTCACATGATGCAGGAGCAGGCCAATTGCCCCTGGCTGGGGCCATCCTCTGCTGCACCTCTATTGCCCCCGAGCAGCGCGTACGTCTACTCCAGATCCTGATATCTCGCTGTCTCTAATGACCAGATAGGCCAAACTCGCAGCTATTGGCGCGCAGATGGGCGCGACCATCAAGCTCGACCTCACATCGGACGTAACCCACCTCATCGTCGGCAGCACCGACAGCGCCAAATATCGCTATGTCGCCAAGTCTCGCGAGGACGTCAAGGTCCTCTCCCCGGAATGGCTCGAAGCCCTGAGGGAGGTGTGGATGACCGGCGATGACGACCTGGACATGGCCGCGCTGGAAAAAGAGTACCGCATGCCGACGCTCGCTGGGCTGAAGATATGCCTTACCGGCTTCGACAACCGTACGTTGCGAGTTCTAAGTGCACACGACGATACTGACTACTACAGCCGATCAACGCAAGACCATTCAGGAGTCAGTAGACGCCAACGGAGCCGAGTACCACGGCGACCTCACCAAGTCCGTCACCCACCTCATCGCAGCCGCGCCATCGGGCAAGAAGTACGAACACGCCCTGAACTGGAGGATGAAGATTGTGTCGCTGGAGTGGCTCGAACAAAGTCTGGAGAGGGGCATGGTGCTGGACGAAGCCCTCTACAACCCCACCATGCCTGTCGAAGAGCGCGGCCAAGGTGCTTGGGATCGCAAAATGCCCGCGTCGCCCGCCATAGGCAAGCGCACACGAGATGCAGAGCCGAGTCAGGCCCTGAATCCTTTCCGCAGGAAGCTACGTCGCTCAGCAAGCACCAAGGTTGGCAGCCAAAGTGATGCCTTTTGGGCGGGCATCACAGCGCCCAGTTTCGAACGACCGATTGATGAGGATGAATGGACAGAGGAAATCGTTACTAAGCCAGATAGTACGCGGACAAGCACTCGCACACATACCCCAGCGTCCCCTCACAGACATGCATCAGTCCATGAGAATGATTCGCTTATTGAGGCGCACCTTGATGACAATGCAGACAGTCATGAACCATCATTGCCACCACATACGAACGATGTGTCCCAACATGATGGCATCTTTCAAGGACGACTCGTATGCACGCATGGCTTTGATGCAGAGAAGGTTTGTCATACCATCTTACATTCCAGCCCTGGCTGACGTTCCCGCTAGACAAGCATTTTGCGCCAACACCTCGAGAGCAACGGCGCGCACGTAATCCATGCGACCGATCTCAACAATGCGCCATCCGACGATCTAAGACGAGGCTACTTCGTAATACCACATGACGTCGAGGTCGATTCGGCGGCACTTCCGGGGCGTGCCGGAGAACACATGAACCTGGCCACTAATTGGTGGGTCGAGCGCTGCCTGTATGGCAAACGTCTAGTAGATCCATCGGACGATGTGTTAAGTCGACCATTCGAAAAGCTTAGTATCAGTGGTAAGCTCGTGCTCCACGGTTATTTTATTGGTCGCTGACGTAGCCAGGGTTCTCTGGACTCACCATCAACTCTACGGGCTTTTCCGGCATCGAGTTACTGCATGTGACCAAAGTTGTCACGCTTATGGGTACGGGATCAGCTCCGCCTCCATTGAAATCGTCTGACAATTTTGACAGGTGCCTCGTACGATGAACAGCTATCGGCGAAGACCTCGGTTGTGATCTGCAACCCTCCTACCATAAACACACCGAAACTCAAATTCGCCACGGACAAACGGATACCCGCTGTTCATGCCACATGGCTTTGGGATTGTCTGCGTAGTGGTCGGCTACAGTCGTATGCCGAGTATCAATTGAACAAGCCAGCGCCGCCTCAGCCACAGAAGCCTAAACAGAGGCCTCAACCACAAGATGATGTTCCCACTGCACTGTTGTCCACGGAAGAGAGCCTTGAGCTTCGTCAGAAAAAGCAACAGCCTACCAATGCCGTGAAAACGTCTCTGCACCCACAGCAGCGTGGTACTCTTGCTCTCACTGCACCAGCAGATGCAACGCCTGCATCAACTACAGATGAGGCGGATACTTTCAACAATGATACTAACGGCCTGAATTACGATGACGATGAGTCTGTCATACCTGGATTGGATGGCGCAGGTTCCCACCCCCTCCAAGAAACCAGCGCCAACTCCCCGCGCCGCCCATCAACGTCCCCGCATGCCTCAAAATCATTCTCACGACCCAGGAGTTCGTCGGCCGAGTCTCTCATAGCCCCGGCACCCCGCAAGTCCAAGGCTGGTCAGATCCCAGATCCGGTCGTTCCTGTTCCTGAACCCGACTCCGTGATCCCGGCGGATACCGAGCCGGTACCACAGGAAGCACCAAAAGAAAAGGAAACAATAAAGGCAAAAGGACCGGAAGAAGAAAAGGATTACTCTTCAATCTTAGCTCAGATGCGCGCAAACCGCAAGACCGTGCCAACGTCCGTCGAGCAGGCACCTGGCAAGACGCGGAAACGGCGGCAGCTTGGTCGCGCAACGTCCACGCGGTCGAACGCGTCAGCGGGTGATAGCTCCGGGAACATTCTGGCTGGAGAAGAGGAAGAAGAGGAGAACACGGTGCTGGTGGAGGAATATCAGCCGAGCCAGGAGCTAGGTTGGGATTCTCCTGGTGCTGCGAAAGCGAGGGAGCAGATGATTAAGAAGCTGGGTGGGACTATGCAGGAGAAGAGCGTGGCAGTTGAAGGAATCGGCGTCGTAAAGGACGTTGGAGGGAATACTACGGGACGGGCGGGTAGGAAGAGGCGAGGGTGAAGAAGACCCTCATCCTGTACAGTCATGATGTAAGTGGTGTATGTGCGAAGAAGTCATCTTGGATTTGTCTGCATGGGATGGCGCAAAGCATAGCGAGGTGTTTTTTGAGGTAACAATGGAGCATAGCGCAGGCGTTTGATAGTAATACTTTTTGGCAGTTGAATCTGATCCCATCATATCCCGTATGTCACCTTCAGTCGTCTCTCCAAATGCCCTTTGGCTGTTATCACCTCCTCTCCGAGCCCATCTTCTCTCAGTCCCAATCTCTTCCTCTGACTCTTCAACTCTTCCTCCCCCTTGTTACCAAACTGCTCAATCACGGGACTGGGTACGGCGTCCAACCTTGCTTCATCTAGCGGGTGGCAGAAGTACGCCATACTGTATCGTTCCTGCCCGCCCTCAAATGTAACACGGTGGACTGTCGATTTCAGCATCCCATTTGTCCAATAACATAGTAAATCTCCTATGTTGACCAAGATTGGAGGCGACGACGATGGCGATGGGCTCACCGGCACTGCCTTCCACCCTGAAGGCGTAGACAATTCAAGGCCGGGCTGGCCCGGAAGACGGAACAGGAGCGTTAGACTACCGTAGTCTGAGTGTGCACCTGCGCGGATACTGGTTTCGCCTTGCTTGGAGTCTTTTCCTTGGGAGATGGTAGATGGGTAGTAGAGCATGCGGAAGATGGTGCCGGATGGGTCGAGAGATTGGTCGTGTCGCGTGCTGAAGTAATTGGGATCGGGGATGTGAAGAGCGGTGTTGAGGAGAGAGAGGATTTGGGTGCAGAGAGTGTGACAGGAATGTTGGAAGCGGGTAATCAACTTGGAAGAGTCCTGGAGAGGAGAAGGTAGGGGTTGGAGGTTTGGGTTTGGGGGCCCGATGTTGAATGCTTCCTTCGGATCGCCTTGCTATCATTCATTTCGTCAACAGGTCATCTCATTACTTATTTTGTTGATAATCACCTTTTGACCTTCAGGATCCAGAGATTCGCCTTGCATCTGTACCCAGCCGCGGTTTATGCCCCCTGCTTTCTCAGAGTGGATTGCGTATTCCGATTTCTGCTCTTTGGGAGCGGCGAAAAACTCCTTAGACTGTTTTTATCAATCAATAAGTTTAGTTTTGGATAATCGACACATCATACCAACTTGAACATGTCATCGATGTCCTGGGGTGGGATGGTCACACCATCGTTCTTAATGTAGAGGAAGCCATGTGTTGAAGCCGCGTCCAGCACTTGCCGAGCGACGTCTTCGGAGGGGCTTGAGATATCAATAACCGGTATGGCTTCTGAGTGGTGTCCTGAACTAGCCATTTGGAGAGAGAGTGAGATGTGACGCGTGAAAGCCTGGAGTAACGCTAGGTGAGGGGCAGAGGTGAGACGTGAGACGCGATTAGGCACTAAGAAAGCAACAGAGAAGCTACGTTCGAATTGGGGTGTATTTACGGAAGCAGATCATCTCAATTCTGCGCCTACCCGTCATTCATCCCTCTACTCGGCGCGATTGCGTTCCCTCGTACGGCTAGACGCTGTACCTGAGCTAGCGCCCGGCTGATCAGGGATCGTGTAGTTGCCAAGGCGTGGAGCTGCATCGGAGCTTCCAATTTACTGTCCACACCCCCGCAACCCTCTACAACTTTACCACACGTCGTCGCTACATACAGTAATCACGCCAGGCAAATCTCTTAGTATTACTCGAGACTTTGCTGCCATCGTCTCCGTTCATTATCAATCCCTCATTCCCATTACTTTCAAACAGCCCCACCACGCGACTGGCACCATGATCCGCGACTTCGTACAATGGACGGCCACACTGGGCGAAACGGGCGAGCTCGAACAATTGCGCGGTTGCCGCGTAGGCATCGAAGCCGCCGAATATCTGAACCAGCGGATCCTCAATCACCCGCGCGCAAAGGAGCCGCTTGTGCCCGCGCTGGGAGGCCTTCCGCTGGCCTTGACACAACACATTGAGGACGATCTGGCCCAATTCCGCAGCTTCGACATCGAACCCGTCTTCGTCTTCAGCGGGCTGGACATTACAAAGCACGATGATCCTTTCAGGCAAAAGGAGACCGAGGCATCGGTAAACATCAATGCGTGGACTCTGTACGACAGTCACGAGGCGGAAGCCTCTGTCGCTAAGTTCGGACAGTCAAGTATGGCCACCGTCAAGATGAGACTGTGTATCGTGCTGACTCTTCTCAGCATACGTCACGCCCGAGGACCTCTTCCGCGCCCTACAGTCAACCCTGACCGAGCGCAACATTCGTTGGACAGTCGCGCCATACAGCGCCTGGGCCCAGGCAAGCATCTCTGGAATCTCTGTTCGCAGTGACTAATTATCGACAGTTGGCATATCTCGAGAAACACGAATACGTCCACGCCGTCTACGGCTCGTCAGATATCCTCATCTTCGAATGCTCCAAAATCATAACATCTTGGGACTTCGAGGCCCGACATTTCAGCTTCGTCCGCCGAGAGAAATGCGTAGCCGACCTCTCGAAGATTGTCGGCGCTCCCAACATCTCAGACGACATCTTTCTCGATACCTGCATACTCGCCGGCACGCCCTTCCTCCCGACCCACCCGATCCTCGACGCGCCTAACAGGGCAGAGCTGATCAAGCCGCACGGCGCCATCAAGGCCATCATGAACAACGGTCAGTCCGGATACTCTGTGGTTGTCAACAACAATGATGTCCCGCCCGCGGGCAAGGAATACGTCACGCGATACCAGAAAGCACGACTGGCCGTCAAAAATCACCCAGTCTACACCGAGGAAGGGAAGGTCGAGCCTCGGAACTCTGGCTCGATGCCTAACGATGCAGGTCAGTATTTGGGTCAAAGGCTTCCAGACGAGATCCTCCACTACATGTCGAAAGGTCTCATCAGCCCGCACATCATCCAGTGGCGCACTACCTGCGAGGTATTCGAAGTCCCTCCCATGGATGGTGGCCTGTCTCCAGAATACAGGGACCTCGTCAGCTCTAAACTGATCCCACTTCGAACACCCGCTGTCAACCTTTTGTCTAGCACCTTACATAATTGGTATCGGCACCAATCTCTGCACCAGACGCATTGGTACTCTCCTGTAGAGCCCAATGGGAAACGCACATCCACAACCATCCCTGTCGAGAAGCCATCAGAAGCCATAGCTCCTTCGCTCGTTGACACCTGGAACGTGAAGGAAGCTACATTTAAGGATGTTGTCGGGCAGTATAAGGTTAGCAAAGCGGCAACCGAATTGACAGATTATTGTTAACACTCAGACAGGACTGCGGAACTCTCGGTGCAGCCATCTTATCACTGCAAAACTCCGACTTCGTCACCAAATCGGTCGCTAAGAAAGATCCTAAGAATCCCCTTTCTTCCACTTCCGAGATACTGTACAACTCGATATGGCGCTTCCTCGCCCTACGGGAGTACATTGACCCCAAGAGCCATAACCTGACACAATGGGGTAAAGTCCTTGTCTCTGTCATCGCTGGCCTAAAGGGCAAGCCAGAGCACGAAGAGGCTGCAGTGATCGCGGTCGAACTGATACGGCTGGGCCTCTTGAACTCCGACATCGATATGTTCTCTATGTACAACGGCGCACCAATGCGTGGTAGCAGTAAGTGGGAAGCCCTTGACCAAGTCCTGCATAGCTGACAGCCGCCTAGCGAACGACAAGGAGTACAATATGCTAGTGTCTCGTGTTGCTGGCTTAGGTACTCTGCACCACCGACCGATTGGCTTCACCGGACCTCTCAGTCAGCACTTGCTCGGTTACAACTCCATCATCAACAAAGTCCGTCAGTCACTTCGAGATATTATCGAGGTGGCCGCCACTCAGATGTTCTGTACTGGCTGCTGCACTAGACATGCTGATATATCAGTCATCGCGATGAAGTTAGTCGTCCCGAATCACAGTAACCCAAGTCTGATAAACTGACGCTCCTTAGACTTCCATTCCTTCTTCCTAACAATTGTGCGCTTAGCATAGCAGCCAAGTCGTACCTCGATGAGCTTCTCACTGGCGATGCCGATCCGACCTCCCCAACGACCAAGTCACGTGTTATTCAAACCGCATCAGAACGCTACTTCCCGCAATCACTTAACCTCGCTGGCGATCTCAAGTCCGCATTCTCACTATGGGACGCCATATGTGCCGGTGTCAAGTCCGCGAATAATTCCACTGTGCCAGACGCGACAAAGCAGGTCTGGGCAGAAGCAGATAAGTGGCTCGCTGAACGACGGTAGAACCGCGAACTCCACCCAGAGCTGTGGCCGTCGGCAAAAGAGGCTTTTGAGTTCAGATACTGCCTCATAAGGGCTCAAGAGAAACGCCTTCACATCGCCAAAGGTAACCTTAGAGGTGTGGTGACAGGGTACTCCGCATACGAAGATAGACAGAAGGAGATGGCAAGGGCGCATTACCTGCTCAAAGGAGTTGAGAAGCTGGAACGTCGCTTTCAGGGGAGACAAGGAAGTCATTTCTACCATACTTGAGCTCTATTGTACTCTTCAAACCAAAGCTATACCCTAGGTACAGCGTCAAGTACGGAATGTTATCCTTCAGGCCCCCGTTGTACACCGGGTACAGCGTACGATTGTAAGGCCCTCACGAGAATAAAACCGTGAAAAGCAAGTTGTGTACGGTCGTGACTTAAGCAAGTAAATTTTCCCTGCTGCCTTTTCACTGAGTCTACCTATTCCCCCAGCCCATCGTCTGTATAAGCCAACGTCGCTTCCTGTTATATCCTCTATCACCACTCTTGCCCTATCCGCTGCCTAAGCTCCCATGAACAAAGTTCCGATCATGTGATCCACCTTGGTGGTGAGCGCATCAACGGCAGTGTCTCTGTTCTCAACCTCAACACTGACGACCTTATGTGCCACGCCACCTGCCTGAACGATGATACTGATACACGCCTGACCGTTGAGGGCTTGAAGATTGCGACTCAAGACGTGGACATGATTCGCCTTGATCTCTTCGCCGTATTGAGCCTCCTTGTGGTGGATGATCGCAGCGAGGTTCCCTGATAGAATTGTTAGTTATTTGTAGTAAGAAATGTTTGCATTCAGGCAAGGAGAAGAGTAATTCAGGTGAGAGAAGGTCAAGAAAAACACTTACCGGCGAGAGTGAGGACCTTCCTTTCATGAAGTGTGGCTTCAGTAGCGACGAAGTTGATGAAGTCGCCCCGGAACGGATGGAGGAGTTCGATGAGACGCTGCCTCACACTCGGAGCGACCGAAGTGTTGATAGTTGTCGCGGCTGGAGCAGGGAACTGAGGCGGATTGAAGATCGTGCGTTGGTTACCGCTGCCGCTGCCACCGCCACTGCCACCGCCGAAACCAAAGTAGTGAGGGCTATTGTAGATATCTTGGGAGGCGCTACCAATTCTGGGTGTAGAAGAGAAAGACATCTTAGATTTAGAATCGGAAGTGTGAGGTGTAGGAGTGTCGGCGGACTCGGTCACGAAGACATTTATTATGCTCATGAGTAAAGTGTTTGCGCCAAGCCAAGATGATCCACACTGGCGGTCTGTACGCGGTCACCTAGGAAGGCCTATGTAGACTGAATATTAGTAATTTCCGTCAGATATGTTTGCTATTGGGCGCCATTTGCGCCGGCCACGTTATGAGCCATCAACCAATCGCAATTCATCGTGACCAAGGCGCAAAGATAACGGGGAAGCCATGGACGCTGAGTGAACGGCACCGGGCGCTGATATCAACATCAATCCATGCGCTTTCTCATCAGTGGGAAAACCTGAAATCCAGCCTCTTCATCCCCTCATCCTTCGTGTTGAAAACATAATCCTCCTGCTCTTCCTTGGTCATAGCTTTCCATTGCCCATCTCTTACGCGATTCCTCCAAATGTAAAACGCCTTCACCGCGTAGAACAAGAAAACGTTATACACACAGATACCCAGCAGTATCCTATTGCCCCTGCGATACAACGGCTGATCGTCATCGCGATAAATATTGGTAGCGATGATATTGCCAGACTGCACAAACATGTTGTAGAAAGCCGCGGAGACGGCGCGTGTACGGACGGAATTCGAGTTCTTCGCGTTCCAGCTTACAAGGATGGCGTGGCAGTACGGATAGGACAGTAGACCTGTGAGGAGCGCGTATCTGACCCAGGGATTTGCGTCCGCAGGTAGAACGACAAGAGCGACGAGCCAGGGGAAAATCCAGATGTTGGATAGACTGGATATCATGGAGCGTTCTTTGAGCTTCTCGGATAGCCAGGTCACGGCGAGGAGTTGGATGGCGTAGAGAAACTGGCTGGGTATGGCGAGTAAGTTGGCTTCGAAGACGGAGAAGCCGAGTTGGCGCAGGATGTACGAGAGGTAGTTCTGCGGTGGGTTAGGTGGGACGTAAGCAGTCAGGCCGATGATGTAGAGGGGCCATTGTTCCCAGTCGCACGCTGCTTTCCAGAGGAGCGGGAGGCCAACTGCTTGGCGGTTGTTCATGTCGCCTTTTGAGGGATCGTCGCGGAGGACGCGGTTTACGAGGATGTACTCTTCGTGAGGGGTGAACCAGCCGTTTTTGCCGCGGAACCAGTGTTGCGTTTGGCAGGCGCCAGGGGGCATGAGGCCAAATGAGAGGATGCCGATGGCTAGAGTCATGATGCCTTCGATTAAGAACCTGTCTGTGTTAGGGATGGTGCAAGTTGAAGTACAGTAGAAGGGACTCACAGATACTGCCAACCTCCCCAACCATGGAGTCCTCGCATCTGCAAGATACCTGCTGCAAGCAGCGAGCCGACGATATTACAAGTACTCAGCGCAGTCCAGAACCACGCCAGTCGGTGTGGAAGTTCAGTGGATTTGTAAAAGTATGTCAACCATAGGACGATGTCTGGGATGAAGCCGCCCATGAGAAGACCAAGGATGCATCGAATGGCGAAGTAATGGGCTTTAGTCTTCATTGCGCATTGTGAGGCGCTGACAATGGACCATATGCAGATGATGGTTGGGATCCACCTGTCATAAGGTCAGTACTTGAAGCGTGACGAGACGGTGAGTAGGCCGGATGGACTTACCGATCAGCACCAAGCTTCTTACTTATCAGGCCGCTGGGAAGTTCGGCAAAGAGGAATGAACCGAGAAAGATCTAGCTTGACGTCAACGAGAGTTCCGAAAGTGACTAACTGTATCAAGCTTACAGTCTGACCATAGTTGAAGTCGTTCGTATTCATTCCTGGTCCAAGTTAGTAATCCACCATCTTTTGTCCTTCATGTAGATGGCACACACCAAGGTCTTTCAGCAAATTGTCCGAGATTGCTCGGTTGATGTTCCTGCGATTCAACTCCATCGAGATGAACATGATCCATGCCCAGAGAGCTATTCGCCAGTCCAGCTACAATGAGAAAGTCAGTTCTGATCAGTGCCATGAATTGGTTTACTCACCTTTTTGACTAGACGTTTCTCTTCTTCAGGTTCCCATGTATACGCTGGGTCGAACCGGTGGCGTCCTTCGTACTCGGCATCATTGTATATTTGTCGCCAGCGCTGAGCCGTTGCCGGGTCGCTGAACGGATGGTCTTCGTGTGAGCCATGTTGTGGCGGTGGTGACTTCGAGCCGTGTGACGACCTTGGGTCAGCGGTTTCGGTGATGGGGGCCTGCTTTTCTACTGGTGTAGATGCAGCCATGTCTGCAAGGATAGATGAAAGCGGACTTCTTATCGTGATTCGTTTTGATCTGGCTTAGACCAATCGGTCGGTACTGATGATCGAATGTGCCGAGGGAGTGTTATAGGGACCGGACATGTCCATGATTAGGGACTGTATCGACAGATGATGCAACCGCGGGTACATGTGACAACATGCGCTAAAATGAAGAACCTTACCGTCTAGACAAGGCTCTGAAAGCCGAGAGACTTGGTTACGAAAGCCATAGATAAGGAATGACGTTTATGCGACAGAAACTCGATACCAATGATAGCATGCGAGGACCTTCATTGAAAATGCATACGTATCCAGACAGAGACACGCTGATAGGTCAGTTGATGATACACTTTAATGCCGCCATGACCCTGCGATCTGAGTCGAGAAAATGCTTTCCGCGGCCACATGTGAACCCCAATTTGGCGTAGGGAAAAAGACAGTGCAGCTACAAATTGACCGCATGCGAAAGTTCAGTCACACGATAGCGGGTATTCCACCATCGCCTTAGATCAGTCGGAGTCTCTGAACATCGATACAACAGCCGTTCATCGGAAGGATACGACATCCATGCTGGCAGATTCGTTCCGAAAAGTCCACCCTCGGCTCTGTGGGCTTGGCATGAACGCTGTTGGTGTACTTCGGTTGTCATATACAAGGGTCGATATCAGTGTTTTGAGAAGAGGATCCGTCTTTGATCGCCGGTGCATCGTAGCGAGGTATGTTGCGAGAATGGCGAAGATGTCGTCAGACACTGCTGGAATAGCCTACGCGAAATTTGCACTTAACAATCTGAGTACCTTGTAAGTGTAGTGATGTCTTTATTGAGATAATTGAGAGTTCCTGTGCACATGCCAGCGATGTTATCATGAATGATGCAGCTCGAAAGAGCAAGGGGCTGGGAAGTCGCGGTCGCGTCGCGTTCGGTCCAAACTAATCGAGGACTAGTGTGCTCACTCCACCCTACAGGTAGGAAGGCAAGAACGACGAAGCACCTCTCTGCGATACTAATACTACATCCGCCGTTGCATGCGCGGTAAGGTCGCGACGCGTTATTTCCGGATCGATGTCATTGCCAGCTGTGAATGGGACTCTGCCAAGCAGCACGCCATTCCACCCCCACATGTCGTAGCCTCAACCCCGCAACACCTCGTCGATATCGCGCATCATGGAAGATTGTGGTTGCAGGAAGCGACTACCGCCACTGTCATAAGTGTGCCGAGAATGATTGCACCATAGTATCCATGCGATGATGCTACGATGCCAATGCACAAGCCGACGAGCTACTGTTCATCAGTCTTTCGATGCACATGCGCTCAGGGATAGTAGATGTGGCGAACGCGAGTAAGAGATAAGTGTGACACTGCTCTGTCGGAATGCGAAATACCCTGTAGCAGCGCAAATCAGCATCGTTGATCATGGCTACGAACACCTTGACCACCACTACCATTGAGGACATAGGCATCAAGACGCAGCCTGGATATCCTCGCGAGCCTCTAAAGACCAAAGGCGTTCTGGATGTCTTCGAGTCTTTCGACGTTACACCAGTCATCGGCCGCGAATTTGTGGATGTAAGTCTGAAGGAATGGTTGCGCGCGCCAAACTCTGACGATTTGATACGCGACCTGGCAATCACAAGTAAGCCACACTCAATGTTTTCCCAATGACTGAACACTAACATTTTGGAAAGTTTCTCAGCGCGGTGTTGTCTACTTCCGCAAGCAGGATGATTTGGATGATGAACTTCAAAAAGAGCTGGCCCAGCGCCTCGGCGAGCTTTCTGGCAAACCAAAAACATCCAAGCTGCATATCCACCCAGTTAGAAACGCGGGGAACCGTCTTGGAGGCAATGACAACGAGATCAGTGTCATTAGCTCGGATTTGGCGAAGCAACTCTTCAAAGAGCGGTCACAGACTGGCAAGCATGGCTGGCACAGCGATATCACTTTCGAGCCGGTACCAAGCGACTATGCAATTCTGAGAATGACGCAGCTACCAAAGTCAGGTGGAGGTGAGTGCGAGAAGTAGTCATACCCTCGTTGACTAGGCTAAGAATACTCTAGATACTCTATGGGCATCAGGGTACGACCTTTACGACCGCCTCTCGAAACCGTATCAGAAGTTCTTCGAATCTCTCACCGCAACATACGCCCAACCAGACTTTAATCGCGCGGCGAAAGAAAACAACTTTCCCGTTTATACCGCTGCACGAGGTGCGCCGGAGAACATTGGCGACTCTCTGACCGCTATCCACCCCTGCATCCGCACGAACCCCGTCACGGGATGGAAGTCACTCTACAGCGTTGGCCACCACGTCCAGCGTATCAATGAGCTGAGCTCAGAGGAATCAGAGCGTACTAAAGCCTGGTTCCTCCAGCTAATCACCGAGAATCACGATCTGCAGATCAGACATAGATGGCAGAACCCAAATGACGTAGCCATCTGGGACAACAGAAGCGTACTACACACAGCGACGTACGATACCGATGGCCAAGGACCGAGGAAGGGGTATAGAGTGGTCAGCTTGGGCGAGAGACCATATCTGGATCCACAAAGTACGAGTAGGATGGAAGCCTTGAGGCTGGCAGAGGGACAGTAACGTGGGATGCGTGCAGGTCTACAACACGTAGATGTTATCTTTGGCCAAAAAGGATGAACCAAAGCATGCCCAAACCAGTGAAAGGGGTGCAATGAAGTGCGGAATAAAGCCTAATAGGCTGCTACGATCACGTGCCCATGCATGTCAGCTTCTGCCTACACTGTTGAACGTCCCCACAACTCCGGACACACTATTGAATCCGTCTCGCCATCCTTTCCGATTTGTTAGGCATCCTCAGACCCGTGATATATGCATCTTACTGCCTTCCCACTAAACCTGTCTATCTTCTGAACCCATTGTCTAGATAAGCTCGCATCGCTTCCCTTTTGTTCTCCATACTTACCAGTCAGGGTCTGCGAGCACACGCATTCGCAAAGACCGGCTTAGATCAGCTGCATGGCACCATTGCGGGACTGATCTTGTCTGATGGCTCTTTGTGGGCGGTCTCTGGCATAATTTTTGATGGCTTTTTCATTGGTTCTTCACACTGTGGTGAGAGGACTGAGGAAGGAGTGGTGTATGATGTCTTTGGTGGATCAAGAGAAGTTGGTTATGGAAGAGTAGCTAGCTACATAAACACCCGTGCCTCCTTTAATAATCTGGATAGTTTTGTAGCCTACATCAAGAAGGAAACATGCGGGATAGGCGAACTAACGTCCATGAAGGCTGTAGGGTGTTCAGTTCTTCCGTTGATGAGGTGACCATTTGTTATCATGATGTGAGTCAACCCAGATTGAACTCTTTGATCTCGGGTTGTAATGCATCCCAAGAATCTTTCAGTACAACACCTAATCCTCGTCTTTCAGCGACATTTTCAACCCATTCAATCCACATGACATTGTAGAACGATGTTTTCCCGTAATCATCCTTCGTCAACTTCCAGAAAAGGAGCCTTTGTTCCTTTAGCCATGTCTTCACTGGTCGAGAGGTCTCGGCTTCAGTGAGAGCGACGAGTTCACAAACACTGCCATACTGAGGCTGATGGTCGATAGTATCGCACATCAAGACAAGATTACCGACTGTCTCCCCGTCGTTGCACAAGCTCATCAGCTTACGATGCGTGTTGTCGCAAATTACCATATGCCCAAAAGTCAGATGTGCACATGGAGTGATGCAGTGAAGAACGGGGGAAGATTGAACGTGTATACGTCGCTCAGCCGGATCGACGGTAGGAAGTGGGAAGGGATATTTCGTATCTCGCGGAGAAGCAGTACTCGTAAAGTAGTCGCCAACTGGGTAGTAATGGCGACTCCATCCCGTGGGCAGCGCAACATGGGGCTGTTCCCGAAGAGCTTGATATCGGTAGAAACCATTGAACTTCGAACTAACTCCGTCTACTGCGTTCGTTATCCGATACTCTGCCACAGGACTCAGGGTCGCCATGAAGGCCCACGCCGATGCATCGCCGGTATCGCGTCGAATACTTGCGTAAAACGTATACCAAGCAGACAGGCAGTCTATTTTTCCGTTCTTCCAGCCTGTCCACGACCAACTAGGTTCACCCTCGCGTCTCCATACAGACTCCTTAGGTAGCCAGAGCAATGCGATGTCAAAGAAGAACTTCGGCATGCCATGAAGTAGACCATCAGGGAAAGTAGTGTCCATAACCTCAGTAGCGCCTGCGAATGCTGCTTGAGCGTCTTTCTCGTAGGTTAGATTTCGCGAAGAGAAGTTTTCTACGAGCATTCCCCACCGACCGAGAGATGGCACCATATGGATCAAAGCCATCATGCCCATTGGGACGCCGAGATGGTAGCGCTCTTCAGGCCAAGTAGTGTCTCGCATCTTTAAAGGCGTGATGTCTTGGGAATTGTGGCTGTCCCTCGCGCCTATGAACTCGTTAATCCCCTCTCGCCACTCACAGCGCCCACATATCCAGGACACAGTATCTTGAAAAATGAGGAGACGGCGTGAGAACAGCGATTCTTGGAATGTCCAGCCCCTAGTCGCCCATTTCGAATCTTCTGGATAAGCATCCCATAGAGGAGACGAACAGGAGGTAGGACCTTGATCCATCGAGGGGCCCCCAATACCCCTCAGACCGTAGCCTGCGTTAGTCGCCCATTTCGTATCTTCTGGATAAGCATCCCATAGAGGAGATGACCAGGAGGTAGGACCTCGATCCATCGAGGGACCTCCAATACCCCTCAGACCGTAGCCTGCGTCTTCACCACCGGCTGCAACGATGGTGAAGTCGGCACTTGCGTATATGCGAGCCATAGCCCGCAAAGTGATGTTGATAGTGTCTGAATCTGCATCTTGAATAACAGACAGACAATCCACCCACAAATACCGCTCACCAAGGGCTTTGACTAGGTGTATAGCATCGCGAACTGTGTCAGGAAGGACTAGCTCGCTTCCGTTGTCGTAGAGAGCTCCTGGACGCAGC